TTTATCCTTCACAGATTTGCTTAAACATTCATTTCTACTGTGAAAAGCGCGCTTCTTTGTCTTAAAACTACTTCTTTAGGTACTATGTTCAACATCAAAATATCATTTATTCATGTAGGTAACATAAAAACGTCAGAAAAAAAAGTTTGCATCAAAATTTCCATTTACTGCCAGTTCTCAAATCAATGGGCGTACCTATAACGCACGAGAAAAACCAACAGTAAACTGCGACATTCTTAATCGCCAAGGTTTTATAATATTTACAAAATATTTGAAAACCTGCAACAATTACTTCATGCGCCTCATAATTATTAATTTCTTTGTGGAACCAGCTGCCCAAAAACTAGGAAACTATTTCCCGAAACCTCTACAGATTCGACATAGGGTCCTTCTAAGATTAAAGAGCGGTACACAATATGTGTGCTTGAAAGGCCATTGGTCAACGCGGTTAGCTACCCCTGACTGCGCATTGAGAGTGTCCATGGTGTTCCTGCGGCGGTATCACTTAACATCAGGTGAGCCTCCTGCCCGTTTGCCCCCTGTTCTATAAACAAAAAACATGTTTAAACAATTGATTATTGTAATTAAATAATGAACAAAAAAAAAGGAAACCAAACGTTTCACCTCAATCAGGTACGGTGAAATAGGAGCATGCTAACATGTTGTGGGAACAATACGCAAACACGTATTATGAAGATTAATCAAGACAGAAAGTAATTAATGTATAGCCGTATATATACTGATATCATCATCATCATCATCAATGGCTATACAGCCTCTTGTGGGCCTTAGCCTTCTCAAGTACACTTCGCCATCGCAATATATCCAGTGCTTCCCGCGTCCATCTTCGAATCCCTATTGTTTCGATATCCTTGATAACTCCATCTCACCAACGCAGCCTCGGTCTACCGGGTTTTCTCTTGCCAGCGGGTTGTGAGTTCAGTAAGGACCTTGGGGTTCTGTCATCTGTACACATGAGCCCACTTGAGCCTGTTTCACTTTCTGAATTGGACGATGTTGGCGGCGTCAAGGATGTTATAAAGATCTTCATTGTAGCGAATACGCCAAACACGGTCGTCGCAAACAGGACCAAATATTCCTCGAAAAATCTTCCGCTCGAAAATTAGGAGAGAAATCTCCTAAATTTCTAACATTCCACGTGCATAGGCGAAAAACATTGTCCTTATACAGTTAATTTAGATGAGATCGGTCCGGTTATATTATATACCGATATACTCTCTATAAATAAGCAACATCTCTTAAACTTTTAAAGCGTGGAAGCCTTTTCTGTACGACTGAAGGAATTTATTGAGATATTAAATATTAGCCCTAATCGCAAAGTTCACAGTGATATACTAGTCTGCAGGTGGTCTCAGACCACTTTTTATTTTGATTAAAATCTTAAATTTATTCAGTTATAAATTGTTATAGTAAGTATTTATCTCTGTTTTAGCTTGGAAATTATTCCCAGGTTAAAATTTGCGTTATTCAGAGACGTGAACTATTTTTATTCCCAAAGCCAGACGTCGCACTAATTAATGTTCGTAAATCACTCGTTGCGACTACAATGGAAATGTTAAAGGTCTACAGAGCGGCTGTCATTTTGAGAAAGATTTAAAAATTGAACTCATCATTGTATTACTTTGAGGACCATTTTAAAAAATCTATTTTAAACTCAATGCCGTAATTAAGAGTTAACGGTTAGTCCAAAACAAAATTAGTTAAAAGCTAAATGTGATTTTTCAGTGGGCTATACTTCAATTGCCTTGGCTAACAATGTAATTCCAATAATCATCTCTGAATTAAACGATAAAATAAATGTAAAAGAAAAATAAAATAACTGTTATTCTGCTTACCACACAATAAATTATTTAAGTCTTCATAACAATATTCTTTTCACTAGCTATATTTTTTGCTGTATTTTTTTCAGCGTGAAATAAGTTGTGTATCACAATAGTGTCACTTTTCTCACAATAAGCATCTTATTTCACACCTATTATTTTCTTCTTTTTATTGTATAACATAAGTATCTGCAATTCATTTATTTCAAACAAGCTCGTGCCCGCGACTTTGTCTGCGCAGGATTAGTTATTCGAGTAGCTTATATTAGCGTGACGTAGAAAAAATCCAATAATCACTTAGCTTCTTTTCCGTAGGTGATTTTTAGAAACATCACAAATTTACACTAAATAATTTTCGTAAAAATTGTTAAATTGTCACCATTGTCGTGAATATTGATAATCATGTAAACTAATAATGGGATTCAAATAAATTATCAAACTTCTTTGCTTTTCTTTCTTTCTTTCAATACATTTAAAGCTACGATGGATACGAGAGTTAAAAAGTTAGGTGATTGTCAGCAAAGTGTGTCAGTGAGGCAGCCAAGTCTCATTGACTTCTGACGAGAAAGACTCTTCAACTTTTGGCAAATTTGTTCGAATTGAAGAACCTTTAAGGTGAAAATTTCATAAAATAACATTATTTGTTTGTGAAATAAACGTAACAAAAGTGTATGGTAAACCAAGAGTTTGCTACTTGAGTAAAACATTGCACGATATTAAGTAAATAAACTTAAATATAAGTAGTAACGGTGACGCAAAATAAGAAATAATTGCCCATAAATGAATCTTATTAAATTAATATCAACGCAGATTTACATAACTAGACGATTTGAGTGCTTCTGAATCATCATGGCCAGCGAGCTGCCAGATCACTATTTGAAATTATGTTTAAAGCCAATTAAAAGATTGACTAAATCTTATGTAAATAATTTAATGAGATCGAGTTTATATTCGTTAAAGATATTTTATTTCAACTGTTCACTACTCACGTAAGCCAAGATATCAAATAATTTCCTTTTATGTAAATTGTAATCCTTATTAAACATTCACACAATCCAACGTTTCGTAGGCGGAAATTTAAAACATTCGCGTCAAAATGGCGCAGGCTAAAATCTTGTTATATAGACACACTGTGACCCTCGAGTCGAGAGCTCGCTTTTTGCACTTGAATTTTTATTCGTTTAACTGTAGTAGCTATTGTTTTATGTTCCACCGTTTAAGGTTTTCATTACACTTTAATTAACGCATAATATTGTGTTAATGGTGAGTGCTTGTTAATTTAACGCTAACACTACTGGATACCTAAACGGCGATACAATTACGATTGTTTATTGATTTTAATAGCTTTACCTACTAAATTAAGTATACAATACAATGATTTATGGCTGCTAGACAAGAGCCTTACATGAAAAAGACCCGAGTCTCTACTAATTAATTAACTAATTATAAAGGTTATCTTCTTTTATTTCACCATCAAACATATAATTATTATAAAGAAAATAATAAAAAAACGTATGTGTACTTATGTAAACGCGTTAGAAGATATACTTCTTTGGCGTAACAAGATGAAAATGTTTAAAAATTTATTCTACGTTTGTAGAAAAACCGACACTAACAATAGAAAAACCTAAAATGTTGACTATAGCTAACTTCAGGGTGTCGGTTTCTTTGTGACGGTGTGCGGTGTGCGCGCGCATCTTAAAAATTTACTCTCATCATTTTTCCTTAACTCGCCAAAAGAAGTATATTCAAAAATATGTAGACAATAAGCATATAAAAGACCCAAAAGCAAGAAAGCAATTATGATTACGACCAGTGGATAATCTTAATAACTAAAATTTTGAATTGAAAAGTCTATTGTAGTATCAATAACGTATAGCAGAGGTTTAATAAAGCGTTGAAATGGCACACAAAGAAGATAAATAGAATCAATATACCCCTGCAACCTCCCTGAGCCCTTCCGTTGAGAGCACATCCAATTATACCGTTGTATTGTGCTGCTACTGATTTACTCTTTATATTTCATATTTGCGACTTTATAGAGATTTTAGCGAGGATAGCTAACCATTGTTATTTTATATGGCGGGATATATTACTACTACATTACACGATTTTGTTCACTTATCCTTAAGAATGTCATTAATCATATTAGTATTTAATGTTATCGCTTTTATTAATATAATTACATTATACGTATAATTTGTATTTACAATTTTCTTAACTTACAAAGAAATCATAAAAATTATTAAAAAGAAAATTATAACAAATTTAAAAAGTTTGGTCTTTGTGGCAGTGTAACTTTAACGCTGGCAGCATTTCCTTGCTGTATTGCGATACTTATTTGTTGAGCCTGGAAAGCACCAGCTCTGGGGTCACCGGTACTATCTACCAGCGTCAACTCCCCACGGCCCAAGAGTCTCTACTCCAAAGGAAACAAAATCGAAGTTGGAGGAAAGACTCTTATATTTGTGCCTTTTATTATTTAATTATATTTATCATGCTGCACACTTTAGATTTATTATGCAGCTTATGTTATTTAATATCTCAAATATTAGGTCCTTACATATGGCGTTTTGTATGGGAGGAACAAAAGGGCTTGTTCTGCAGGTCGACATTTCCAGAAAGTTGGAACTAGAAACGCACTGTGTTTTCTTTTGCGACACCGCCGCCATACACATCATTAATCCTTCGAGCCGCTTCTGCGGCACTGGTGCCACGGCGATATTTGATGTTTTCCATTTTACAAATAGAGTGATTCAAAGAAAAAAAAAATCGGGAAAATGAAATGAATCATGGTTTTCGGAAAACAAATAGAGTAAATAGTTGAATTTGGATTGCCTAACCGAAGAGGAGATATTTAAGGTCAAAACGTCAATTTCATATGTAAAGACCAAATATATTTACTAAGTTTCTTATATTAAATATTTGTAGGTCAGTAAAGAACGAAATAAGTCTCTCCTTTGTACTTTGAAAAGGCATGTTTTAAAAGTTTAGGCCTCTACATGTTTAGACCTCTGCGCCACTCCGAAACAAATCGCCCGAAATCTTTCTGTAGATATCCTAGATTATATACCCTGCGGTAAGATACTCCACGGAAGCGGTAAACTATTTTAAATTTAGTAATTTTAAGTTTACAATTTGTTACAGAGCGGTGGTGTCATGTTTTCTCCCCTTGGACGGCTTAGAGTAGCTCAGGCTGTAAGAAAACAGGTAAATACTTATTCATTTTTCTCTTGGATTAATATCACTTTATTGTTAATAAAAAAAAACGTGTGTGTACTTATGTACACGCGTTAGAATTTATACTTCTTTCGTAACAAGATAAAAATCTTTTCAAAATTTTTATCAGTCGCCATAAACGTTTAAACGTTTAGAGTATAAACGTTTGTAGAGTGGTATAAAGTGGTTATTAGATGTGGTTACTTGTAAAAATGTTTTATGTTTCCATGCCCCAAAAGGGATTACATAATAATACTATAATTCAATAATCGATTATGGCATGGTTTGTCCGTAGAATGACTTCATTACGGTGTGCGAAAGCATTTCATAAAAAAATACCATAAACAATCAAATCTGTTCTTAACTAAACGGACTAGTTACCTTAAAGATTTGCTAGGCATTTTTTTTTCTCTAAATAAATCACAATAAATTTGACCTAGTACAATAAAATCTAAACAGTAAAGCTTGTATTATGGATACAACGATGTTGGTCCTTGTATAGTTAGACATATAAAGCATTTTAAACACCCAAATTTGATGACAACACCAAATGCTCTCGCTGATGTTCGTCTCGGCTCTTTTGGCGGAACTCGGGACTCATGGAAACATTGTGACTCAAAACTTGACCAATGAGTTCAAGAGAGTTTCCAGCATCAGGTTTCTTCATTTAAGAGCCTAACGACCTTTAAAAAAATTGATACGTACACCTGAAACCTATTTAGAATCAATCTAACATTTTTTCTGTATGACTTTCATGTAATTGGTTTCCGATACAACTTACAAATTAAAAATGACTTCTTAGAGTGTGTATAAAATGGTTATCGAATGTGGTCTACTTTTAAAATAGTTTCAAAGTTATGCATACATAATAAATATATCCATAACCGATTATCGGCAGGGCTTGTCCGTAGAAGACTCAAGTAGCAAAGCATCCCAAAAAAAATAACATAAACAATCAAATCCATGTTATTAATAAACGACTAGCTACAAGATTTGATTGGTCTCCTTTATCTCAAATAAATAAATAAATTTGTATAAAATCAAAATCTAAACAGTAAAAATATACATCATCTTGTGTTGAGTCCCTAAAGTTCAATAAAGCTGTCCAAAATTTGATGATTACTTAAATGATCTCAGGCTGATTTGCTCCAGGCTTTTTTGGCTGCTCTGCCTTACAAACAATTTTGATGACTCAAAACTTGAAGAAAGAGAATAAAAATTAAAAATGACAACTTACTTGTGTCTTACAAATTTCGAATCTTCTCTATTTCTTATAATATTTCTCAAAGTTATCATACATAATTTCATCGCCACAACCGTCTCGCCTTAAATATTGGCCAAATACGGACGTCAAAGCCAAAATCCCAAAGAACTAAAATAGCTCACCCGATGTGCTTAATCGAACCTGCTCCAATATTTGTGTTCCATCAATCTCGACATTTTGGATACTTTCCAACACGAGACAAAACTATTTACATATGCCTTACAGTGGCATCTTGTTTTTAGTTAAAATTGCATTGAAGATGTCCAAGAATTGTTTAGAACATAGGTTAAATAATTTATATAGTACACAGATTGTTCTTATAGAAGTTTTATTAATAAATCAAAGACTTCAATGAATAGATGAGAAGTCAAGTAATATCTGTAGAACCATTCTTTATTTGTGAGTTTTGAAGTTATACTTTTTTAGGCGTGTTATGAAAAATTGATGAGAGTGAAATTTTACGATCAGCACATGGCAATCATTAACAGAATGAGTTACACACGAGAAGATGCTACGGCATTGGACATAATTTAAAAACAACATTCGAATAATAATAGAATGTATGTTACAGCTTAATGTAAGAGAATAATAATTAATATTTATTTATGTAATTTTACAAATGTAGACTGAACTTTATTGACTATAATGACTCCTTTTCCAGTCTTTGATTATTTAATTGAAATCAAATATTGCATCAATCAAAATGTTTTTCAGATAACTCAACTACCACTGATCAGCTCCGAGGCAACTCCGCTACAGGCACCACTGCACTGCTACCAGTTGATCTGCCCACCCCTGGCGACGTTGCCTGCGTGTGCGCCTTGTGAGCTTCCCCCACCATATGCAGTATATCCTCTGCCCTATGAAAGTAAGCATATGTTTCATCTATCTTATATATATATTTAGAATATTTATCATTTAAAGTAGGCAATTTGTAAACATATAGTTCTATGAGTCAGTAAATATGAATGTATCACACTATTCTTAACCTACATAATAATAATAATAATTAAAAATTGATAAATAGAAAATTCAAACAAATTAATAAGCTTGGCACCTTTAAAGCTGGGACCATTATCTCGCTGTTTTGCGATACTTATTCGTTGAGCGAGGAGAGCACCATCTCTGGGGTCACCGGTTCTATCTACCAGACGCCAACTTAAATATTGAATTAACAAGAGTCTGTGCACCAATGGAACCAAAATCAAAGTTAGAGGAACTACTAGACTAGACTTGTATTTGTCACTACTAGAATTTTTTTTATAGTCCATGTCCTAACAATTATATCTTTTTAACTAGTTATACTTGAATGTTTACGGACTTTGGACTTTTAAAATTATTCTTCATTTCGTAAAAAATCATATGCATATGATATCTAGAAGTATATAAGCTCTAATTAATCCGTACATTACGTTTGTATTTATATTAGGGCACAAAACCTTTCCAGCGGCACCAGCCATCTATGGTCCACCAGCTCAATTTGCGCTACTCCCGGCTCCTGCGCAGTACAGCGCGTGTTGCGAACCAGCGTGTTGTGCGCCTCTCGACAAACAGCCCCGCATACCGCCGCCACCACTTCACCCGGCATTCATTTACTAACTTCCCTCGATTCATGTATAGCATTATGTTCTTTCAATAATTGAAATCGCGTGTCTCTTAAGCTTTTACGACTAAATTATTCCTCAAAGATATTTTAGGTTTGTATATTATAAGTTATAATTTTAATAATCTTAAATTTGTGTATTCTGCATATACTGTATTACTAAATTCAACTAGAATCCTTGATATTTATCCTATTTCAGGGGAAACGTAGGTAATTCACGTATCTCTTACAGTCATTCCTTCGAGTCTTCCAAAGTTTATATGCTCAAATATTGTTTGTTCGCTACATTATAGTTTTAATTTGTATGCAGAGGCGTGAAAAGCTGCGTCATAGCTTTCGGACTCACCAGAAAATTCGGTAGCATTTTATAATACTGTTCTACTAATACTCGTAGAAGATCTACTTCTCTAATACAAAGCCTTGGTTACAAAAGGTTATATGTGAAGGTTTTCACAAATAGCCCTGATGTGTGTGTAAAGCAATTAATAAAAAAATGATGTTCTTTTAAAAATTAGACCTTAACAGATATACCCTTTAATTGTCTTAACGTTGGCCAGAAATTTAAACAAGCTCCAACATTTGATTTCCCGTTAACTGTGACGTAGTTTTATAAATGAATGATCTTATTTTTCAAATATATTTAATTTAATTTGGTAAGGGTAAGATGCAAAGAATGGGATGTGATTCACGAAGTGTTCAAGAGATAGAATTACTATTGTGTTTTTGACAATTTTGTCTTTATTGGAGTGTAATGAAATGTGCATCACATTTCAAAATTGTTGTTAAGGTATTTATGTACAAATTGCTTGAACGCAGAACCGAAATTGAACTAAAACTGTAATTGGATTGACATCAAAATCGCAAACACTGTTTCAATTAATTCATTATCAATTCATACAATCCAATTGCAATTTGTGTTTGAATTGAATCAGATAAATATTATTGTGTAGTATTCGGACACTTTAGTATTATGTAATTTAAAATGTTTATGAAATGTTCATGATTAAAACGTTATGACACTATATATTTATTCGCTGTTATATAAAACTATATATATCATTTGAAAAGACATTACTAAACTAATAAATGTACCAATCTAAAAATGAAGATTTGCATAGTTAAAGCACAAATAATAGCAGTTCTAGATTTTTTCCTAACGTTGTTGATAGCTTGTTATCCTTTTAAAGGAATTTTAGTTAATCCATAGAAATACATTTATTTGTTGTCCTAAGATAGTACAGAGAACCTATTTTTTAATAATTTAGTTATATTAAAATGATTATCTGGGGTCCAAAGTGTGATAACATCAAATGAATTCAGATTAAATTCACACACGATTTCCACAAATAGATTTCTTGAAAATATTTTCGCGTTTCATATTTAGATAACTATGTTATTGCAAAGGCGTTATCCTTAAAATTAAACAACTCTCACACAAATCTGATGTTTATACACATAATACAAAGATTAAATTATTGATTTATCTAAAGTTAATCACCTCAAATATTAAAATTAAAAATACATTAATTCTTGTCAAATTCGATTCCTTATTAGGAATTACAACGATTCTAATTTCTCTAAATCATCGAAGTAGCACTCTATGAATATTATTTTACGCTAGTATTGTTATGTAAAAGGGCACCAAATATTTATCTTATAATCCAATATTCAAATTTATATCAGTTTTTTAGTTAATGAAACTATCTTCTACTTGAATGGATGCTAAGCTTCAATAAGTGTAGTGTAACTAAAACGCTGTCAATTTACTATTTTGGACTTGTACTACTATAATATTTAGCATTTAAGAATAGCACTAATTACTTTATGATTTTTCAAAGTAATGCACTGGATTATTTTGACTAATAATTTAACTATTCTCGCCATGTACGATTTCATTTATATCTTCAGCGTTATATACTTTAAAATATACTCTATCGCTTGGAATTTGCTATAAATATATGCCTCCAATGTGTTCGTCAGCCATTGTTCCCTGTTTAGTAGCGTCGGTAGTTGTCCTTCTGACGGCATATATTTAAAGCATTAGTCTATTTAAACTATGTGGCCTAGATATTTACTGCCTGACATATCGGATAAACTAGAAAGTACTACGCTATAGTATTTTATTTGTTGTCTGTATATAATCTGTCGCTAGATATCTATATTTATATATTCGACGAAGTAATTTAGACAATATTAATATAACCGAATCTAGATATCTTATTGTAAGTCACTTCATTACTATTATATTAAGCGCTTAGATTAATGTGATGTCTATCGTGGTTGTCAAATTTAAACTTTTTAAACTATTTCTACAATAGCATGAGCCTCTTGTTGTCGGTGTGAATTTAAATATATTTCGTAAATGTCTATTACCGTGTTGCTTGATGTCGTATTTCAACCTTTACAGATCTCATCTATATCTATATATATATAACTTTTTGACTCTTAAAATTGTACAATTATTCAGCTTTATCATACTTTGTTGCTTTCACTTTAAGATTGTTAACGTTGTTATAATATAGATCTCATAGGTACGTGTTATCATCAATTTTGAATTAAAATCGCCGTCCTGTGACGAACATCTACTTGGTCTGAGGCCCTTCGAGTCTTAAAGGTGACGTTTTTGGTGAGGATTTATCTTACCTTAATAAAATAAACAAATTAATCTTAAAAATATGGTTCTTACTTAATGAACAGGTAGAAATAAATGTTCACCAAAAACTGTTTTGTCTTAAGGCCCTGTTGTAGGTACTTTACACCGATTCCAGTACATGGAATCGTTAATCCGTCGATATTGAAGCGTAGATAATACAGGGACAAAGACAATACAATGACAATGTGGTTGAAGTTGTGTTAAAGAGTACAGAAAGAGGATTGTTCGTTACATGTTCAATTGTTTTGTTACTTTAGATGTCAACACATTTCTTATTCATTGCAGTAATATTTATCGGTATTTTTATAATTGCTGCATATGATAGAAGTTATTAAAGACGTGTATGAAAGTATTTGTGAAATTGTTTCTAACCTGCAACACAACGTTGTCAAATACCTCTTTACATTCAATCACTTTGTCTACTTGTGTTCTGTGAATACCAGATTTATCATACATTTACAAGCATTTACTTGTTGGTTTAATTCTGAACTTTAAACAGTCTCTCTCACTAAAATAGCAACAAATTGACCAAACAATTTACAGCTAATTTGTAATTTTGCATTTACAAATTTTCCGTGCAGTACTACACGAGTAGCAAGTGATTTGTTTACATGAACTACATTTGAATGTAAATGAGGTTATATTTAGAAGGCTTTATATTTGTTAAAGTTTGTCCCCTACATCAGTAAGAGTTTTTATATACCTTTACAAATTTGTAGACAGATGTTTGGTTATGATCGTTTTACCCTGTTAGACGCTATATCGCTAATTACTTTTCCGTGGGGCGTGAACCTTTATAGTAAGTTGTATATCTCCAGTTTACTATGAAACTGAACGAAATGAATAAATACTTACTATAGGGGTAGTCCTATCGATCTGTTCGTAGTGACATGTCATAGCTGTATTGTAACTGTTGACTACTTGTAAGAAGTCTATTTTAAATGCTACGCGTCGGTAACTGATATACGACCATTTAGTCTGATGTTTTAAAATGATAATAAAATCAAGTAAAATTTATGTGTGAATCTATTTATCTGTATTTGTAGATCTATATACGTAATATTCATAAAAATCTAAATGTTAGATGCTGGTGAAAGTATTCCACAAAATATTCTAAGATTATATTATTAGATTTAATTAGAGTTAATGCTATGAAAATGAAATATTAGCAATGCATACAGTGATCATAATCTGTCATTACGCACATAATAATTATTATACGAATTATGATAAGAGAAATATTTTCTAAAGCATCATCATCGAATGTATGTAGGATTGTTGATAGTTATATATAATTGTCTAGCTATTATATGTGATATTGTTATTGGATTAATAGATATTTAAAAGGCTAATATTAATTCTATATTCTCCTTGTTGACTTTTGTGTATTAGAATTTAAGACATTCTATCATAAGAGGTCAAGACAAGTGGGATTGATACTGGTGTGTGAATTATTCGTTTTTTCAAAATCACTGGCTTTTCTCATGTGAAATACATTCACAAATGGAATTAAAAATATAATTAACATCTAAGCTCACATCTATGCACAATACGTCATGATTTACGGTAAAAAAATATATATACCAGATTAATTGAATTTTGAGTGCATTAATAATTATATAATTGAATGCGAAGTTGGATTATTTTGAAAGATCGAATATATATTTATTTGTGTGTATAGGCCGTATGAAATTGATAAGCATCAAAAGACATATATAGAATTAATGTAGATACATCGATTTGCTCAAAACTTTTGTTGTACCTTCCTATTACTTTTTACCGACATAATATATTTATAACAGTACTCGTTGGATACCAAACTCTAGACAAAGATGTATTATATATTATTTTCCCAATGCTTTGATAATCACTTACCTACTGATAATAAACGAAGATCGAACGCAGGCCTAGGATCGGGTCAAGTGCTCGTGTCAGGGTTGCTGTTGACCAATCACAAGCAAGCGAAACACACTATCGTTTTGTGTTTCGTTCACCTGCCTGGTCTGTGAAAATGAAGCTAACTCAACCGACTTTTTTTTGGCCGTTCGTAAAATTATTATTTAGTTTAATAATATTACATTGAGCATTGGCAAGTAGCTTTAGTTTGACTTATGATATATATTTATTGACAATAAATATTCAAAGTATTTTTAACATTAAATTGTGTCGGTAAATATCCGTCAATACTTGTGGACATGCTTCTTTAGGTGAAAATCACTTAATCTGGCTATCTCCAAGTAGAACCTTAAAATGATATCGTAAAAATTATTTTGACAAAGTTGCATGTTCGCGTTCTTTCCATGTATCACAATAAACAATGAAGTTCATATCAGAATCGCATCG